GAAGTTAAAATCTTAATTGAAGTTAAAATTCTAATTTTTTAATTTTTGGGCAAAGTTTTTTTTAGTGATCACTTGTTAATTTTGATAATTTTTTTTATCTGAATTCTATGATTATTCAGAATTCAGATAAGTGGAATTTGAATTTGTGCCCAGTTTGCAAATCCTTCTGTATAATATCCATGTTTACATGCAATCCTATTGGCTGATGATAATATGAGTATTGATTTATTAATTGAAGTTAAAATTCTAATTTTTTAATTTTTGGGTGAAGTTTTTTTTAGTGATCATTTGTTAATTTTGATAATTTTTTTTATCTGAATTCTATGATTATACAGAATTCAGATAAAATAATTTTTCAAAGTTGTCTAAGTGGTTATTAAGAAAATTTCATTTAAAGAAAATAATTCCCGCCTGAGTTTAACTTTTTAAAACTTCGAATGAAGTTTTCTTAATAATTATCTAATCAATTTTTATGAAGATTCTTATTTAGATTTATAATTATATAAGATTTAAGCAAAAGATTTTATAGAAATTTGTTGAGTAATTGTCAAAAAACTTCAATTTTAAATAATTGCAAAAATAAAAATTTTTCTTACTTTGGGCAAAGTTTTTTTAATAACTATTTCGTCAATTTTAACAAAAATTTTTTTATTTGAATTCTATGTATCTGTAGAATTCAGATAAAAAAAAATTATCAATATTAATAAAGTGGTTACTAAGAAAACTTTATTCAAAATTTAATAAATTTTAATTTCAATTAATGTTAACGTTAATTATTATATTGTTATCGGCCAATAGAATTGCACGTAAACATGGATGTTACATGAAAGGATCTGCAAACTGGGCACAGATTTAAATTTTGCGTAAAATCTAGTGTTACAGGCTGATGAAAAAATCTCAGGTTGAGGCTGGCCTGGTAGATCAGGGCCAATCTTTATATGAAAGATTTTGAAAGATTTTGAAGGATATTTGACCTTTATCACACTTTAGACATGGATTGGGGAGTTATTCAGATTCGATTCAATACTTTTTTCTTTGATCTTATAAGAGGTTCATATTCGATGTTGTCTTATTGTCTACATTCCGAAGATTCTTACTTGATAATTTCTGGGCCGGTCTGTATCACTAGTAAAATCACATTTCTGACACTTTTACTTAGTGAACCAAGATCGGTTCAGATAACTATTTTATATATATTTTGTGTTTTTGTCTTTGCCGTTTTGCTTTGTTTTGTTCGGACTGATCCAGGTTATATATTGAGTACTTTCGTAAGGTGCCAGGCTAACAACCCCTATTTATAGTATTTGGTTAAACCAAAATGAATAATTTAGTATGAAAAAAAATTATTGTATATTATTTTTCCAGATCTTCTTTGTGATCATTGTAGTATTAAGTATTATTATATACCATTGATATCCAAGTGCAATTTTCACATAAACATAATTATACAAAAATAGTGTTATCAGATTTTAATATAAATAAAAAATTAGAATTTTTTATTTAAAATAGTTAACAATATGAGGGGTTATTTAACTGTATTAATGTGATAATAAATGATGATAATACTGTGAAAATATGAACCTGCATTTACTCTTATACTCTTTTATTATGAACTCTAA